CCTTTCGAAACTACGGACTAATCTTGCGCGCGTTAGGCCATCGACCAATTGAAACAGTCCCTCTTGTACTCGACTCTGGAGCTCGAGGCAGCTCTCGTTTCTGCTCACGACGAAATCTCGAGAAAAGACGACGAGATCCTCCAGCTCAAGTCCCTACTCTCGACCGTCATCAAAGAAAGAGACCAACTCCACGCGAAACTCGAAAAACAACACCTCATCCTCCAACAACAAATCAATAATATTAATATCCCGAGCGAAACCCTTCCAATCTCAACCAGCAACGAAGAAGACCACAATAACACCGTGGACCGTTGCACATCCGATTCTTGTGACGACAATCTCAACATTCTCTCGGACATAACCGAGAGAATCGTGTTAAAAACTCCTCTGCCAGAGCAGGGGAAGTTCCTGCAGGCGGTGATGGCCGCGGGCCCGCTGCTCCATAGCCTCCTGCTGGCGGGCCCGCTGCCACGTTGGCAGCATCCGCCACCTCAGCTCAACTCGATTGACATTCCACCTGTCGTGATCCAGTCGACCAGAATCGTGACGAGTCCCAAGTATCAGAGAGTTTGTTCACCGCCACCAATCATCAGTGAACCGAAAAATTAGACATATATTTAATAAAATGCTCTCTCCCCATTGATTAAGTAGTTAATATGCAACAATTTTGAGTGGTGTTTTTGTAGGAGTAGATTCCCTGCAGCAGTTGTGGAGTTTTGGCCAAACACAAATCTAATCCTCTGCAATATTATTGCTCCAGGTGATGGTAATTAAGATGCTAAATTAAGTAAGGTTTGTACATTTGGATGATTTTGTGTTAGAAATGAGGAGTTTTAACAAATTCTAGTGGGGGTGAGAGTTGAGAGAGAAAGTGTGTGAAGAGGGCTCAATCAGCCATTTTTTTTCTTTTTTCTTTTTTTTTTTTTANTGTTATGAGCTTTGGGTTGGGTTGGAGACTTTGAATTGGTCTTCCTACTGTAGTTGGTCCAATTTGTAATTTTGGCCCCTAAGGATATTATTATTAGATATGGGGCCTACGAAATTCTCCCAATTGTGGTGGGGAATTTTGTGTGAAATGCATAATATCTCTATGCTTTTCTTAATTTTAATTTTAATCTTTACCAATTATATATGGATCTTGGTGTATCTTCGTAGATTGTTATGTTTGTGAGCCAGCATTCATCATTTGTCCAATGGCTTTATTTTAGTGGAATTAATCAAAGCTGTTGCCTTTTTGGTATGTAGTGACAAGGAGTTATTTATTTTGTTTTATTTTTTCTCTTTTTTTTTTCTTTAAATAATATGTGACCTTAACAAGCAATAAAAAATATCACCAACCTTGCATAGCCTGTCTGCCATGAAAACTAACATCTTGCATTGGACCCCCTTCCTCTATCATCAAAAATATGCTTTACTGATAATCAAAAATATTTGTTTCCTTCAATTGTTAATGAACTGATGATTAATTAAATATTGTAGGTCCTTAATAGGAAATTCATCATTTTATTTTAATGGGCCTATGAATGAACATCATATAAAAGTTATGAGAGGAGTAATATAAATAAAATCGATTTTGATTGGATTTATTGGATATATTGAGTTAATTTTGAATATAGTTAATAATGAAGGATTGGGTGAAATGTTGAGTCTGTATCGAAATAGTATTTAAAACTTAATGACTAAAGTTGATATAATGTAAAAGTTCGAGAGAAATTATTGAAAGTGATATGTAGTAGAAAATATGTGAGTTGATAATTTAATGAATTAAAGTTGATGTAATGTGTAAACATGACTTATTAATATTAGTTAATTCCACTGATAATGATAATAATAATGATAATTGGGTTAGATTAAATTTAAATTTAATTTTGAGTTAAGCAGTGTAAAAAAAATTATCCGATCAAATTGAAATCGGATCATTTCTAGCCAATTGCGAATAGAGCCCGACTAGAATAATATTACTCTCCTAAAAACTTGTGTTGTATCAAGAAACTCCAATTTGTGTCATAAAAATGATATTTTAACTTTTATTTGTTGGATGCAAAGACTGGATTCTAATTAAAAACAACGGTCAAGATTAATAATGGACTGATTAAATTTTAGTTCAAACAATTAATTGATAAGTGGAGATTTAGAATAGACCTAACTAACTGTACGTCCTATCAGTAATCAAGGGAAAATGATGAAGTCCTGAGTTTATAATAACCTAATATATAGATTAAATTATGTAATTTGAAAACTATATGCAGACTTTTTCCAAACCAAGTGGCTAAATCATGCATTACTCTTCCCCATCTGGAAAAGCATTGTGAACACCAAAGTTTAGTGGGTGATTGTTTATGAAATAATTTGTTCAAAATGAATTATTTTGGTTAACTATAGTTAATTTTGAAAAATGTGGTATGGTTAGTTGTTAGTGGAATTTTAAGAATGTATTATAATAATATTTAAAATAAAATGATTAAAATTGATTTGATGTAAAAGTAGGAGATAAATGATTAGAAATGATTGGTAGTTAAAATTATATGAGTGGATAAATAGTGAATTGAAGTTGATGTGATGTGTAAGAATGATTGATTTGTATTATTTAATTATATAAATAATATTAAAAATAATGGAATTAGAATTAAAATTGAGTTAGATTTTGAATATAAAATAAATGAGAATGAAATAATTTATAAACAATCAAGTCCTAGAATTAAATAATTACAGCAAATCGTACTAGCTAGTAGGCTTCAGTGTTCATTACGACGAGTAAAAA